GTGGATTTGTTTCTCTAAAGTACCTACACTAATACAGGGGGCAAAGGGGAGCTAATATCAAGGAGCTCAAGAAGACAGAAAATGTTCTGAGACTGATTGTGGTAGCAATTGCACGATACTGCTTGAAGTGATTGAACCCTGGAATCTTATGATACCTGTCAGAGCTCCCAATAAAATGATTGTTTTAATGAATTGAGATAGGGAAGCATGCCTGAAGTCCTCCTCTGGTTCCCAGGCTGAGGCCCATGAGGGGGGTATAGAGGGCCCCTCAGAAGAGACACCCCACACCCCCCAGACTCACCTCAGGTTCTGAAGTTGGCAGTTGGGGTGTCTGAGTCCTTGGCACAGCAGCCGCACCCCTCGGCTTCCCAGGGCGTTTCGGTACAAAACCAGCTCCATCAGGTTCGGGTTGGTGGCAAGAGCAGCCGCAAGGTGCTCGCTGTAGGCATTGGGCAGCATGTCCCTCTCCGGCCTGCAGAAGGAAGGAAGGGCAGGTCATGCTCTGGTGTCACTGGGCGCTTACTGGCACCCCTGCTGCTGTCCCTTCATGCTGCCCAGTCGGTGCCAGCTCAGAGCGACAGGGTAGAACTGTCGCTATGAGTTTCCAAGACTGTAACTGGGTAGAACTGTCGCTATGAGTTTCCAAGACTGTAACTGTTTACGGGAGTCGAAAGCCTCCTCTTTCTCCATCAGAGCAGCTGGTGGTTTCGAACTGTTGACCTTGTGGTGAGCAGCCCAACTCAGAACCCACTACACCACCAGAGCATAAGCCAAAAGACACGAACCGAAAACCCCACCTCCACCAAGTCAATTCTGACTCAAGGACACAAACAAATGCTTCAGAGCAACTGGTGGTTCCGATCTGCTGATCTTATGGTTAGCAGCCCAGTGCTTAACCACCAAGCCACAGGGTCCGTTACAGTCCAGGCGCCAGGGTTTTCAATGGCTGCTGCTTCTGAAGCCGGTCACCCGTCTTCACTTCCGGATCAACCGTCTTCACTTCCGGGTCACTGCTGAGGAGACTCAAAACTCCAGGCATCTAGTTAGCTGACTCCTGTCAAAGACTCCTCCACCTCTCGAATCCGACTCACAGACACTGTCCTATAGGACAGAGCGGAGCTGCCCCTGTGGGTTTCTGAGGCTGTCCATCATGACAGTAGAAAGCCTCATCTTGCTCCCAAGGCGCGGTTG